ATCTCCGGTGAAAATCGTTCCTCTGGGAAATATTCAGCTATCGAATTCCCAATGGATTCATAATTAGATATTGACGCAAAAAGATTCTAATTCCCCAAAAATTCAGAATCCCAAAATATGCAGATATTAAAAAATTGAGGTGGAAAATTTTTCACATTAAAACCTGAAATTTTAAAAATTTCAGAGGGTGAAAAATTGAGGTTGAAAAAGTCAGGAATTTCAAAAATTCAGATTTCAAAATATTCAAACATTGAAAAATTGCAATGGAAATTTGTCAAATATTAAGAATTTGAGATAATTTTCAGAAATAGAAAAAAATCAGCTCTGAAAAGATACAGAGATTGAAGAATTGGGATATAAAATCATTCCCATAGGAAAAACTCCAGATCCGAACTTACCTGGATATTCCCAAAGGCCAATATTAAGAATTCAGCCAAAAAATCAAATCCCAAACCCAAAATAGGGAAAGATCCCAACATTGAACCCTGCACCTGGAATCTCGGGTAGGAATAAAATGAGTCTGGAATTTCATGGAATAAAATCGGGAAAGGGACTGGTGCGGTGGTGCCTGGGGTGGGGGGGAGCCCTTCCCAAGGGATTCAACCCAGCGTGTGGAGGAGGCTGAGGATGGGAATAGGGATGAGGAAGGGAATGGGGATGGGAATGGGGATGAGGAATGGAATGGGGATGGGAATGGGGATGAGGAATGAAATGGGGATGGGAATGGAGATGAGGAATGGAATGGGGATGAGGAAAGGGGATGAGGAATGGAATGGGGATGAGGAATGGGGATGAGGAATGGAATGGGGATGGGAATGGGGAATGGAATGGGGATGAGGACTGGAATAGGGATGGGAATGGGGATGAGGACTGGAATAGGAATGGGAATGGGGATGAGGACTGGAATAGGGATGGGAATGGGGATGAGGAATGGAATGGGGATGGGAATAGGGATAAGGAATGGAATGGGGATGGGAATAGGGATGAGGAATGGAATGGGGATGAGAAATGGAATGGGGATGGGAATGGGGAAGGGAATGGGGATGGGAATAGGGAATGGAATGCGGATGGGAATGGGGATGAGGACTGGAATGGGGATGGGAATGGGGAAGGGAATGGGGATGGGAATAGGGAATGGAATGCGGATGGGAATGGGGATGAGGACTGGAATAGGGATGGGAATAGGGATAAGGAATGGAATGGGGATGGGAATAGGGATGAGGAATGGAATGGGGATGAGGAATGGAATGGGGATGGGAATGGGGATGGGGAAGGGAATGGGGATGGGAATAGGGAATGGAATGGGGATGGGAATGAGGACTGGAATAAGGATGGGAATGGGGATGAGGAATGGAATGGGGATGGGAATGGGGCCAGAGCCTCCTCCCGCTGCTTCCCTTTGTCTGGGCCTTGCTCCCACATTGTGTCTCCATCGCAGTTCTTTGTCTCCCATCAGCTCCTTCCTCTTCCTCCTCTTCCTCCCAGTGGGATAGGGGTGGGGTGGGGTGGGGGTGGGTACCAGGGGGATTCGCCCCCCCCCCCCCCCCCCCGGGGTCGGTTTTCCTGGCTTTGGGAAGCAGGATCCCACCCGCTCCCATCACCCCCCAATGGCCCCATTACTCCCATCACCTCCATCCCCCCCAACTCTCATCCCAAGCCCTCAAATCCCTTCCCAAATCCCAAATTCCCTTCCCAAACTCCTTTTCCCAGGCCCAAAATCCCATTTCCCCCCCAAATTCCCATCACCAGTCCCAAATTCCCTTCCCAAGCCCTACATTCCCTTTCCCAATTCCCAAATCCCTTCCCAAGCCTCTCATTCCCTTCCCAAACCCCTTTCCCCAGGCCCCAAATCCCATTTCCAACCCCAAATTCCCATCTCCAGCCCCAAACTCCCCCCCCATGGAGGACCCATTCCAGCTCCCATGGCCACTACCCCCTCCCAGGGATGCTAGCAGCACCCTGGGCTTAGTTTTTCCCTTCTAAAAGGCCTTTTCCCCTTGGAAAAGGGCATTTCCCCCCCCAAATGCCCCTTTTCCCCCTAAAAGGGGTCTTTTCCCTTCTAAAAAGGTAATTCCTCCCAGGAAAGGGGCATTTCCCCCCTAAAAGGGCCTAAAGGGGTGAGCATCCCTCATCTGCTCCTTCCCTCATCCCGCACCTCCCGGTCCTGCGCATCCCCATCCATCAGCATCCCAATCCCGCTCATCCCAACCCTGCAGCTTCCCTCATCGCGCCCATCGCACCCCGCACATCCCATCCCATCCCATCCCTCCCATCCCATCCCATCCCATCCATCCCGGTTCCTCGTATCCCGATCCCGCACACCCCGGTGCGGTGCTCGCGGCTCTCTGCCTCTCTCTAGTGGCTCCTTCCCGCAGAGCCGGGATCGGGATCGGGATCGGGACAGGGAGGGAAGGACGGGATAAAGGGGGAAAGGAGGGAGGGGAGGAGGGATGAAGGGGAGGGATGGATGGGGATGGGATGCAGGGGATGGAGAGGAAGGAGGGAAGGATGGATGGGGATGGGATTGAGGGATGAAGAGGATGGGATGGAAGGATGGATAAGGGATGGGATGGAGGGATGTAGGGGAGGAAGAAGGAAGGAATAAAGGGAAGCAATGGAGGAATGAAGGGGATGGAAGGATGAAGGGGATAGATGGATGAATGGGGAGGGGATGGACAGAAGGATGGATAGGGAATGGGATGGAGGGATGAAGGGGAGGAAGAAGGAAGGAATAAAGGGAAGCAATGGAGGGATGAAGGGGATGGGATGGAAGGCTGGAGAGCAGGAAAGGAAAGAAGGAGGGATGAAGGGAAGGGATGGGATGGACAGAAGGATGGACAGGGAATGGGATGGAGGGATGAAGGGGAGGAAGAAGGAAGGAATAAAGGGAAGCAATGGAGGAGTGAAGGGGATGGATAGGATGGAGGGATGAAGGGGATGGGATGGAAGGCTGGAGAGGGGATAGGATGGAGGGAAGGCTGGAGAGCAGGAAAGGAAAGAAGGAGGGATGAAGGGGATGGGATGGACAGAAGGATGGACAGGGAACGGGATGGAGGGACGAAGGGGAGGAAGAAGGAAGGAATGAAGGGAAGGAGCAATGAAAAGGATGGAGGGATGAAGGGGATGGAAGGATGCGGATGGGATGGAGGGATGAAGGGGATGGGGTGGAAGGATGGATAGGAGATGGGATGGAGGCAAGACTGCAGGACAGGAAGGAAAGGTGGGATGAAGGGAAGGCATGGATGCGGATGGGATGAAGGAGAGAAAGAAGGAAGGGAAGCAATGGAGGGGATGGGATGAAGGAGGCTTCACTCCCAGATCCACCAGCGATTCCCATCGGGAACATGAACAGGAGCCACCGTGGCCAGGCTCCAACTGCACTAAATACACCCCCCCCCCCCCCCAAACCCACCCCCGGGCCCCCCCAATGACAATACCGAGGATGGGGTCCCCCAAGACACGTTTATTACCGGGGGAGGGGGCACACATACGGTGCCCCCCCCCCAGTTTCCCCTGGTGAGGGTGAGCAAAGCACCTTAGAAAGGGCTTAAATCACCCAAACCCCCCAAAACAGCCCAAAAAGGGTGGGTGTGTGTGTGTGTTTGAAGGGAAACAGAGCCCGGAAGCTCCTTTAGTGTTGAAGTGGGGCTGAGCATGGGGAAACTGAAGCACAGACACCCCCCCCATGCCCTAAAGGTGCCCAAAAGCAGCTTCCAAGTGGGAAAACCGAGGCATGGAGCCATGAAATCCCAGTTCCTGCATCCCAGCCTTGCTCTCAGTGGGGAAACTGAGGCACGGAGCCATCCCCCATCACCTAAAGATGCCCTAAAGCAGCTTCCAAGTGGGAAAACCAAGGCATGGACCCATTAAATCCCAGTTCCCACATCCCAGCCTTGCTCTCAGTGGGGAAACCGAGGCACGGAGCCATCCCCCATCACCTAAAGATGCCCTAAATCAGCTTCCAAGTAGGAAAACCGAGGCATGGAGCCATGAAATCCCAGTTCCTGCATCCCAGCCTTGCTCTCAGTGGGGAAACTGAGGCACGGAGCCATCCCCCATCACCTAAAGATGCCCTAAAGCAGCTTCCAAGTGGGAAAACCAAGGCATGGAGCCATGAAATCCCAGTTCCCACATCCCAGCCCTGCTCTCAATGGGAAAACCGAGGCACAGAGCCATCCTCCATCACCTAAAGATGCTCTAAATCAGCTTCCAAGTAGGAAAACCAAGGCATGGACCCATGAAATCCCAACTCCTGCATCCCAGCCTTGATCTCATTGGGGCCACTGCGGCACAGAGCCATCCTCCATCCCCTAAAGATGACTTAAACCAGCTTCCAAGTGGGAAAGCTTGAGGCAAAGCACCATTAAAACCCAATTCCTACATCCTAATCCTGCTCTCAGTGGGGAAACTGAGGCACGGAGCTATTCTCTATCACCTAAAGATACCCTAAACCAGCTTCCAAGTAGGAAAACCAAGGCATGGAGCCATTAAATCCCAGTTCCCACATCCCAGCCTTGCTCTCAGTGGGGAAACCGAGGCACGGAGCCCTCCTCCATCCCCTAAAGATGCCCTAAATCAGCTTCCAAGTGGGAAAACCGAGGCATGGAGCCATGAAAACCCAATTCCTGCATCCCAGCCTTGCTCTCAATGGGAAAACCGAGGCACGGAGCCATCCCCCATCCCCTAAAGATGCCCTAAACCAGCTTCCAAGTAGGAAAACCGAGGCATGGAGCCATGAAATCCCAATTCCCACATCCCAGCCTTGCTCTCAATGGGAAAACCAAGGCACGGAGCCATCCCCTAAAGATGCCCTAAGCCAGTTTCCCAGTGGGAATCTGAGCCCCGGAGCCATTAAACCCCACCTCCCGCATCCCGATCCCTGCTCTCCTTGGGTTCACTGCACCCCGGAGCCCCCCCCCATCCCCTGCCCGTGCCCCAAAGCCTCTCCCAAGCCGTCCCCCCCCATCCCGGTGCTTTTCCCCCCCCTTCCCTCTCCCTCTTCCCCTTCCTCCCCGCTCACCCCCAGCACCTCCAGCACCCCCAGCTCCCGCAGGCGGCTCAGCACCATCCCTTCCCATTCCCGGTTGGCGCGGGGGTTCCGGGGGGAGGGATGGGGCAAGCCCTCCACCCTGACCCCATCCCCATCCCCGTTACCCGCAAGGCCGGCGGCGGCCAGGGCCCGGCGCGCTCGGTGCTCGGTGAAGCGGCCCAAGGCCAGCACCAGGCGGGCGCTCAGCACCCGCACGGCCGCGACCAGCGCCCGGTCACAGAGCTCCAGTAACGGGGCCCGGTGCTGGGGGGGGAGGTCGCTGGGGGGACGTTGCGCCCGGAGGCGCTGAGGAAGAGGAGGGGGCAGTGGTTGTGGACGAAGCAGTGGGTGAAGAAGCGCTGGGGCTGCGGGCACAGGCGCCGGATGAGGCCCCAGAAGCGGGCGCCGCTCACCTCGGAGCGGGTGCAGCTCAGCCCCAGCACCGGGCGCTTGGGGTGCTCCGGGTGCGGGCGCTGCACCCCTCCCCGCACCTGCAGCCAGTCCCGCACGGCCCGCACCTCGCCGAAGGGGACCTGTGGGGCAGGAAGAGAGCGGTCAATGGGGGGGGAACATTGGGAATGGGGGGCGGGAATGGGGAGGGAGCCGCTGGGAATGGGGAGGGATCCATTGGGAATGGGGTGGGAGCCGTTGGGAATGGGGGTGGGAGCCATTGAGAATGGGGGCGGGAATGGGGAAGGATCCATTGGGAATGGGGGCGGGAATGGGGAAGGATCCATTGGGAATGGGGGGCGGGAATGGGGAGGGAGCCGCTGGGAATGGGGAGGGATCCATTGGGAATGGGGTGGGAATGGGGTGGGAGCCGTTGGGAATGGGGGTGGGAGCCATTGAGAATGGGGGCGGGAATGGGGAAGGATCCATTGGGAATGGGGGTGGGAATGGGGAAGGATCCATTGGGAATGGGGGGCGGGAATGGGGAGGGAGCCGCTGGGAATGGGGGCAGGAATGGGGAAGGATCCATTGGGAATGGGGGGCGGGAATGGGGAGGGAGCCGCTGGGAATGGGGGTGGGAATGGGGAGGGAGCCATTGAGAATGGGGGCGGGAATGGGGAAGGATCCATTGGGAATGGGGGCGGGAATGGGGAAGGATCCATTGGTAATGGGGGCAGGAATGGGAAGGGATCCATTGGGAATGGGGAGGGATCCATTAGGAATGGGGGCAGGAATGGGGAAGGATCCATTGGGAATGGGGGCAGGAATGGGGAGGGAATCTATTGGGAATGGGGGCAGGAATGGGGAAGGATCCACTGGGAATGGGGGCAGGAATGGGGAAGGAACCATTGGGAATGAGGAGGGGATCCATTACGAATGAGGAGAGATCCACTGGGAATGGGGGCAGGAATGGAAAGGGATCCATTGGGAATGGGGAGGGATCCATTGGGAATGGGGGCAGGGGGCCTGAGCTGCTGCTGTGCCTCAGTTCACCTGCACTTGGGGGGAGGGGGGAAAGGGGAATTGGGGCACATCCAGGCATCCCCTGCATCACTGCCCCCCACAGGGATGCCCTGGGCCCCCCAATAAGGATGAACTGGTCCCATTCCTATGCCCTGCCCCCAACCCCCCATGTCCCAGTCCCCCCCATAGGGATGCACTGGGACCCCCATAAGGATGTGTTGTGTCCCCCCCTATAGGAATGCCCTGTTTCCCCCCCATAGGGATGCCCTGGCTCATCATAGGGATGCCCTGGTCCATGCCCCATAGGGATGCACTGTGCCCCCCCATGTCTCAGTTTCCCCACAGGGATGCCCTGGCTCCCCCACAAGGATGCAATGGTTCCCCCCTATAGGGATGCTCTGGCCCCCCATAGAGATGCGCTGTGCCCCCCCCCCCCCCCATGTCTCAGTTTCCCCATAGGGATGCCCTGGCTCCCCCATAGGGATGCTCTGGCCCCCCATAGGGATGTGCTGTGCCCCCCCCCCCCAGGGATGCCCTGGCTCCCCCCCCATAGGGATGCCCTGGCTCGCCCCCCATAGGGATGCCCTGGTTCCCACATAGGGATGCCCTGGTCCCCCCCATAGGGATGCTCTGGCCCCCCCATAAGGATGTGCTGTGCCCCCCCCATAGAGATGCCCTGTTTCCCCATAAGGATGCCCTGGTTCCCCCCCAATAGGGCATCCCTGGTCCCCCCCATAGGGATGCCCTGGTCCCCCCCATAGGGATGCCCTGGCTCCCCATAGGGATGCCCTGGTTCCCCCCCCCCATAGGGATGCTCTGCCCCCCCCATAGGGATGCCCTGGCTCCCCATAGGGATGCCCTGTTTCCCCCCCATAGGGATGCCGTTTCCCCATAGGGATGCCCTGGCTCCCCATAGGGATGCCCTGGTTCCCCCCCATAGGGACGCCCTGGTTCCCCCCCCGCGCACCCCGGTCTGGGCCATGCCGAAGGGCCCCGGGTTCATGCCCACGAACAGGACGCTCTTGGGCCCGCGGCAGAAGGCGCGCACGAAGCGGCAGTGCGGCTCCCAGGCGTACTCGAGCGGGCGGTAAACGTGGGTGACGGCGGGGCCCGGCGGCGGCAGCGCCCGCAGCCACCGGCTCTGCTGCAGCTCCAGCAGCAGGAACTGCTCGGCCACGGACCCGCACTCATCCGGTTCCGGTCCCGGTTCCACTTCGGGTTCCGGTCCCGGTCCTAGTCCCGGTTCAAGCCGCACTTCCGGTTCTGGTCCTAGTCCCGGTTCAAGCCTCACTTCCGGTTCCGGTCCCAATCCCGCTCCAAGCCTCACTTCCGGTTCA